TGGCTGGACTGACAGTGTGAGATTTATACAAAGGAAATCCCATGAAGTACTTGACTGAGATCATACTTCTCATTTTGGACAAAAATGTCCATATACAATGTAAACTACACATTTTCCATAAATCCAGTGAGGAAAAATGTCAATGGACTTGTCCAAAGGTTCTCAGCTACGGCAAGCGGCAAGCGTACTCAATGAACCACTCCCCCCACGCCCACACACTCCTTTCCCCACACCCCGTTCTAGACGCACGGCAAACAGAGCAGTAACTACTGGTGGATGAGGTTCTCTCAGGCTTTGATGCTGAAGAAGTCCTGACAGTTCCATCAGACAGGTAATACTACCACCACCTTACAGCACCAAAAGAGAAGATAACAGAGGAGAAAGGGAGTGCCTACTTCAGGAACCAGGCAAGCAATGCGCAGAGCGGATGTTCTAGGAGTGGTAGCTTTTCCTACCTAAAAGATTTCCAGTCAGAAGAATAATCTGCACACCTCTCTGATGTTGGTTTTGTACACATTGTGCTCTGCACTTCAGACAAGGGCTAATAGCACCTTTCAAGCCATGTTAAGAGCAATAATAACAAATGATGATGATGACAACTATCTGGGTACACACACCAGTTGCTTCTGATCTTCACAAGAGCTCTAGAAGGTAGGTGGTAATTCTATTTTATAGATGGGCAAGCTGAGGCTTAGAGACATTAGATTTGCTCAAGGCCAGTCAGTCAGTAAAAAACAGAGCTATATTTGAAACCCAGATCTTCTGACTCCATGCCCCAGGACAAACTGTCACAGGCACTAGTTAACGAGTGAAACATCATAATCGGTGAAACTGAGGGTGAACCACCCAGGATAGGAGCAAAGTCAGATGACAGGGCTCACAGATACCCAGCCTTACCCTAGAGCACACAGCAGGCAACTGCAGTTCAGGATCTGTCAACCCCGAGCCTGGCTGTAAATAAGGACACATTAGGAGTATGCTTTGGGCACCTAGAGGGCAGAACAGTGGGACTGGTACTTTGTCTTATGTTTAAAATGGTCAAGCATTTGTCCTAGCTGACGTGGCTCAGTGGCTGAGCATCAACCCATGCACCAGGAGGATGTCACTTCAATTCCCAGTCAGGGCACATGCCCAGGTTGTGGGCCTGATCCCCAGTGGGGGGCATGCAGGAGGCGGCCAATCAATGTTCTCTCTCATCAATGTCTCTATCTCTCTCCTTATCCCTTCTTCTCTCTCTAAAAAATCAATAAAGAAAAATTAAAAAAACAACACTTTACTTTCAAAAGACTCATGAGGGCCCTGGCAGGTTTGGCTCAGCAGTTAGTCGGCACACGGACCAGAGAATCCCAGGTTCGGTTCCCGCTAAGGGCATGTACCTCAGTTGCAGTTTGTCCCCGGCTCCAGTTGGGATCGTGTGGGTGCCAACCAGTCGATGTGTCTCTCTTGCATGGATGTTTCTCTCTCTCTCTTCCTCCCTCTCTCCCTCCGCTCTATCTGAAGATTAATGCAAAAATGTCCTCGGGCAAGAATTTTAAAAAAAAGATCCAGCCCTGGCCGGTTTGGCTCAGCGGTTAGAGCGTCGGCCTGCGGTACAGAGAGACCCGGGTTCGGTTCCCGCTAAGGGCACGTACCTCGGTTGCAGTTTGTCCCCGGCCCTGGATGGTCGTGCGGGTGGCAGCCACTCGATGTGTCCCTTCATGTCGATGTTTCTCTCTCTCTCTTCCTCTCTTTCCCTCATGCTCTATCTGAACAAAAAATAGAAAAATGTCCTCGGGTGAGGATGAAAAAAAAAAAAAAGATCCATGAGAAAACAAAAAAAGATGAAATAAAATGGTTAAGCACTTGAACACTGAATTCAAGGCTTTTCGTACCCCCAGCCCTGGGTTCAGTTCCTGAGTAGTCCTTGACTAGCCAGTCAAATTCAGCAATGTTAGGTCACTGACTTCTTTCCCCAGGAATGAATGTTAAAGAGCCCTCTCAGTACCTTGCTAACAAAACCCTAAAAAGACCAACAGGAAAAAATCCCATACCTAGCCAGTTCATCTGAGTTGATGAGCACTCGGAGACCCTTACTGGCCCGTGGCAGGACATAAATTCTAGAAACAACAAATACTGCTCTGTAGAAAAAGCAAAATGTTAACTCTGTAGGCCTACACTTGGCAATCGCATTTCAGAATTAACTTAGAGGTCGACTATTTGAGACTTAAAATATACTCATAGATTCTAACACCCATTAACAGCACTTAGTTTCCAGTCTAGACTCTGCAATGTTGTTCACCCATTATGTACAACAACATGGTGGCCTTCCAGCTACCCTAATCACATTTCAGTGGAGAAAGCTAAGTCAAAATTCCAAACCACAACAACAATGAAATAGTCCCCTTCTCAGCTCAAGTGGTCCATGCTGGCCCCCAGAAAGCAGAAGGGACAAGGGAGGTGCTACTGTGCCTCAGTGGTTTACTAACCCCCAACTCCACATGGCTGGTTCATCCTTGAGTTGTCCTAACTTGGGGAACAATAGCACTTGCCCTGAAAGGTTGGAGGGCAAATGGCCTTGCAGGTTAGCTCTGTCTCCTCCAGCACCTGGAGGCATGGCTTGAAGAGCCCAATAATGCTCAGGTTAAAATGAAAGCCTGCCTTCGGCCAAGCTGCAGCCGGTTGATGTTTCTCTCACACATCGATGTTTCTCTCTTTCTCCCCTTCTTCTCTCTCTCTCTCTCTCTCTCAAAAATAAATAAATAAATAAATAATTCAATAAAAACAAATTTAAAAATAAACTAAAAGGCTTTCCTTCTTATAGTTAGTTTAAAAGATTAATTTGTCCTAAAAAGATCTAATGAATCATTTATTTTAAAAAAGGCCTTCCTTATTTTTCATACCACTCTTGTCTAAAATTCTAAATAAAGATAAAAGTGCTTATGTCATTATAGGATGATAGCTGTAACAATCTGGATCTAATATTGTTCAATAGGGGGCAAACAGTCCATAACTGCTCTTGTCACATCTCTGCAAAGCAGTGACCAGGCACACTGTTGGCTGAACAACTTGGTTCTTCCTGTAAAACAAACAATAGCTGAAGCTGTGCATTTGTACACACACAAATATTTATCTGTGCATGCAGAGACAACAGTCTGGAATGGCTCACCAACTGCTGAGTGGCGGTCACTTATGGGAAAAAAGATGGGATGGGAGAGTAAAGCAATAGTTTTGCTTGAATGTCTTTTGAGAAGTACATTAAAAAAAATACACTTTCCATGTGTAATTTTTAAAATACTTTAAACCATGACAAGCCATTTTAAAAACAGTTCAAAATAATAATTTCCTTGGATATAAAATGTGAACAAAGAAATAATCAGAAATTATAAATATATTTAGATAGATTCAAAATAGAACCACCCAAGGAAGTTTTACATTTATACTAGCAGGTTCAGCAAACTACAGCCCATAGGCCAAATCCAATTCAATTGACAGGCACAAGGTAAATCTAATTTTCACATTTTTAAAGGAAAGGAGAAAGAAGGAGAAAAAGAAGAACAACAACAGAGGCCACATGTGGCCCACAAAGCCTAAGATTTACAGTTTCCCCCTACAGAAAAAGTCTGATGACTCCTGCTTTACACCAAGAATACTGTACCTTTTTAAAAATAATTTTAAATTCTTCTTGGAAATGTCTTCAGAATCACTTTTAAATACAATAAAAATTAGTTGTATTACTTAACAGTCTACCCTTTTCTTCCCCCTAAACCCACATGCAGTGTAAGGTAGCTTATTCAGTTCACTCCATCTTCAGATTTGCCTTAGAAGACTAGTGATTTCCTAAAATCAAATTCAGCCCCAGGATGGGGAAAAGGACACTCTTGCTAACATCCAGGAACCTAAGCTATAATGTGCAGCTAAAATGTACAATGGGAAACTCAAACTCAGAAGAACTCTCTGTACAGATAAAAAAAAAATCTCGCCCTGGCTGGTGTGGCTCAGTTAGTTGGAGTCATCATCCCATACACTGAAAGGTCATGGGTTCGATTCTTGGTCAGGGCACATACCTAGGTTTCAGGTTTGATCCCCATATGGGGTGTGTACAGGAGGCAACATATCAATGTTTTTTTTCCTCTCTCTCACTCTTACCCCCATTCCTCTCTCTCTAAAAATATCAATAAAAAAATAAATCTAGCAGTGACAATAATATAACAGATCACAGTTAAATAAATCATTTCTTAAATGAAGGAAGGAAAAGGCCATCTTTATTCTGAATGAAATTTGTAGTCCAGAGCCTAGAAAGAGGGAGAAATTTCATATTAACTATCAAATACCCTGAGAAATGTATTGAATAAGAATCAGCCCTGGCTGGTTTGGCTCAGCAGTTAGAGCATCAGCCTAGGGAATGAAGGGTCTCGGGTTCGATTCCTGGTCAAGGGCATGTACCTGGGTTGCAGGTTCGATCCCCGGCCCTGGTTGGGTCACGTGGGAGGCAACCAATCGATGTGTCTCTCCCACTCTCTTCCACTCTATCTAAAAATCAATGGAAAAATACCCTCGGGTGAGGATTAACAAACAAAGAAAAATAATCAAATGTATCCAATTGTGAACAGCTGTGAATTTAGAACTGGAAAAATAATTTAAACATGTGTGGAACTTCACACATTAAACCAATGGTTCTATATAATGACAATTTACAAATAAAGCTCATAATCATATTTAGAATTCTCAGTCGCCATCCTATACTTTTAACAGTATGTTATTTGGAAATTAAGTTACACTTTGAACATTTAAAGAACATAAAATAGAAGTTGATTTGTTTGTTTAATAATCTTTTAACCTACTTAATTTGAAATGAAAGCAATTCAGAACCTGTCATACACAAATTTTTTACAAGGAGAGAGTATCAACAGAAAGAGGATAAAGACCATCATTACGGTGACTTGGGGAAAAACTAAGACAATGATATCACTTACCTTTGGAATACATTTTCCTACTGAATTATGACACAGAAGATACACTACCTCAATGTCCTGGAGACTGAATTCCTTCTGATCTGTCAAGTTTGCGGCCCCGGCACTGAGTTCCATCAGCATCTTGGCGATCTCAGGCTTTATGGCTGAAGTCAGCCGACTGGCTGCTTCCATGACATGCTCCTGCACATCTTTGAGCTGCGTGGCTGCCTTGGAGTAGTGAGAGTTCCTGAACACGGTGCTGAAGAGATCAGTGAGGAAAGTACTGGCACGGCAGAAGACGTTGAGGGCGTCCAGGTACTTGGAGATGCCCTGCTGGATGTCGGCGATGGGAGTGGAGTGGGGCATGGCATGGTGGCAGCTGCCTGCAGCAGTCAGGCTGCCCAAGGGGGCAGTGGTGGCTGTAGATGCCAGGGGAGCACTTAGTGCTCGACCCAGCTCGGGCATCGGGTATTGTTGGTGCTGCTGCACCTTCTGCTTGGACCCGCCAAGCAGAAAGCGCCGCTTATAGTCCATTTTACTGTCTTGGGCACTGCAGCAATACATGCGGGAGAGGGAATTGTCCCAGTGACTGTGAGCGGTCAGGGTTCTGAGTCTTTTTTTCCAAGACTGTAGCTAGGTATAAAAATAGTGGAGTTCTGAAAATCTAAGTTTTAAAAAAGGCATTTCCATGAGGCAGGTGACCGTGTAATCCAATGTAGATGTGAGGACAACAGGTTTATATAATTAATATTTTCAGTTTAGCCAGGACCTCTGACAGAAAATAAAATTGTGTCCAAAGTGCTGTGTAAGAACTGTTAGCATTCCACTCTCTTAAAAGGCCTACCTATAATTGCTTTGCAAGAATATTTTGATACTTATATTTACAATGGCAGAAAAATAACTTAACTTTTAAAAATGTAATATAATGTATCTTCAATATACCAGAAAAGTTAGAACCCCAAAACCCACAAGCTGATCAACAGCAATTTAAAAGCCATACAGAATTACTTCACACTAAGTCCTCAAGAAGGAAGATCAAACCTCTGCAGAATTTCGACAGAGCCTGCCTGCCAAATCCATTTACCTGAAAGCTTCTTTTGAATGCAAAAAAATTCCAATTTCCTTTAGTATTTTCTGAAAACAAATTTTTCTTTTTTAAAAAATGGCATTTGTTATTATAAGTCGTCTTTCCTTTTGTTTGCTGAGGTAGCAGTTTCTTTGTAACATTAGTAAGAGGTGCTTCCAGACTGGGTTGGCCCTCAATTGTTAAGTCCAAAGTAAGAATGCACAGATGTAATTGTAAGGCCTCTAAGTCATTTCCTGTAAGAGCAAAAATAAGATCATGTTAGGAAAGTTAAAGGACAATGAGTAACCCTGGAACATTAACTTCTGAAATGCTATTATCCAAAGGTGAGCTACAAATGCATAAGAACTCATATTACAACTTATTAAAGAGTGAGATCTGAACTATGACATGATGACTGCCAGAAAATTCCTTGAGTTGTACGAAAATAACGCAACCAAAAATGTTTGATTCCATACCAATAATTCCAAAGCTAAGGCTAGTAACTGACACATGGAGCAGGGCCTGGATTCAGCAGCCACAAAACTTTAAGGGAATTTCGAAAAGGGAGTGATGGGCAAAGGCTGAGAGAAATCAGGAAGGCTGTTATGAAGAAAATGTTATTTTGATGTAGGCTTCAGCTGGAGGACAGGTTATGACGGTGCAAAAGGGATGTGTGGGACTCATGAGGTGAAAGGACCACCACAGCAAAGGCCCTAAAGCAGGGTGGCACAGGATCTAATCAGCATACCCTGCTGAACCAAAGTGAAGCAGACAGAAAGAGCCTGGAGAGGTGGGAGGCTGGCAGGAGGTTTGTAGACAGGATTGTTCTAGTCCTCACTCCAGTACCAATTTCCTCCCTGGATATTTAAAGGGAAGCCTGGCACAGTGTGCCAGTCTTACACTCTTGGGTAACTTCTATAAAACCCCTGGCTCTGGACAGGTTCAAATAACAATATCTGGGCATTTCTGTTTGCAGTTACTGATACCTAAAACAGGTGTAATTCACACACAGCTAACAACAGGGTTCATACTTGCCTGGACTATCTGTTTTCCTAAACATAGCAAGAGTTCAAATATATTTACCGAGTGTCATATTTAGTCTATATTAAACTTCAACTTGTATGATGTCTGCATATAGTTGGTCTACTTATTGATAACGGGTTTTCCTTTCTTTCTGTTTTCCTTATTTTAAAAACAAATACGAGTCATACATGACCAGCCTCCTTTACGGTTCTGTGATTGCATTAAGGAACCTAGTAAAGTAAGTATGTTAAAGAGCAAGAGATGAGAAAAGTGCTATGGATACAAACATACTCTAAAAGTATAGCAACCCTAAGCCAGCTGGCATGTAAATGAAACTAAACCGGCCCCCAGCTATAGCTCTGTGTTCAAGAGTCTTTATTCAAAATCTCATAAACTTTTCAAGAAACAACATAGCAAACAGCTACTTGTAAGAATATGTCCATAAGTGTTCTTTCTTTCAAATTCATGGCAATAAGGCAATCATATCTATCCTTACCCAAGTGCTCCATTATAATCAAAGTGGCTTTACAAACTGATGCACAACAGAAGTGCCCAGCAGGAATGCTGGAGGAAGGCTGTTCACATGAACAGTGTGGTCTGTGAAGGAGAGCCATTGCCCTGAGTTGGCCATAAGGAGTCGTGAGCAACCCCTAGCACTCCTCTTTGTTCTGTGTTCTACACCAGTGCCTCTAGCTCTGAGCGTCCACCCCCATTACTCTGCCAGACAGTCCCAGAAGGCCAAGTACGAACTACATACTTAACCTAACTTTTTTTAAAAATCCTCAGCGAGACTATTTTTTCCATTTATTGTCAGATACAGTGGGAGGGACAGAGAGACAAAAACATTGATGTGAGAGAGACACATCGACTGGTTGCCTCCTGCATGACCCAACTAGGACCAGGGACAAACCACAACCGGTATGTGCCCTTGACTGAAATTGAACCCATGACTCATTGGGCCAACGCTCTAACCACTGAGAAAACTGGTCAGGGCTACTTACCAAACCTTTTATTTTTTGTATGTATGTATTTATTTAATTAATTTTTTTATCCTCACCCAAGGACATTTTTGCATTTATCTTCAGATAGAGTGGGAAGGAGAGAGGGAAGAAGAGAGAAAGAGAAACATCAACGTGAGAGAGACACATCGAGTGGTTGCCACCCACACGACCCCAATCAGGGCCAGGGGCAAACTGCAACTGAGGTATGTGCCCTGAGCGGGAACTGAACCCAGGACTCTCTGGCCCATGGGCCAACGCTCTAACCGCTGAGCCAAATAGGCCAGGGCTTACCTAATCTTTTAAGAAGCATCATAAACTTTTTTTACTTTAAATGTTTCCAAAGTTTATTTAAATGAAAAACTTAGAATGATTAAAAATATACCACTTCACCAAATTCATCTACAAATTCAATGTAATCTAACTCTATCAACATTTGAACCACCTTCTTTTTCTTTTCTTTTTTAAAATATATGTTTTTAATTGATTTTTTAGAAAGAGAGAGAGGAAACAGAAACATCGATAAGAACATTGATCAGCTAGCTGCCTCCTGCACGGCCCCTACTGAAGGACTGAGCCCACAATCCAGGCATGCCCTGATCAGGAATCGAACCAGTAACCTCTTGTTGCATGGGACAACACTCAATCCATTGAGCCATACCGGCCAGGCTGAACCACCTTTTTTATAGAAATGGACATGCTAATCCTAAAAATTGTATGAAAATGCAAGAGACACAAGATGACCAAACAAATATTAAAAAAATATGTTGGAGGATTCACACTTCCTGATTGGAAAACCTACTATAAAGCTAAAGAAATCTAGATAGTGAAGTACTGGCATAAAGAAAGATATATAGCTGGGTCGGTGTGGCTAAGTAGACTGAGCATCATCCCATGGACTGAGACATCCCAGTTCGATTTCCGGTCAGGGAACATGCCGAGGTTGTGGGCTCGATCCCCATCAGGAGGTGTGCAGGAAGCAGCTGATCAATGATTCTCTCTCACTTCGATGTTTCTCTCTCTCTCTAAAAAAATCAATAAAAACATATTGTTTTTAAAAAACGGTCATTATCAAGGTGAAGATACAACCCACAGTATGGGCAAAAATATTTGAAAAATCGTATATCTGTCAATATATCCAGAACATATAAAGAACTCTTAAAATTCAACAATAAAATGACAAATGACCCAATTAAAAGATGGGCAAAGGATCTGAACAGACATTTCTTCAAACATATAAACTGTCTAATAAATGAAAAATGCTCAACACAATTAATCACTAGGGAAATACAAATCAAAACCACAATAAGTCATATTTCACACAACACTAGAATGGCTACAATAAAAACAAACAAAAAACAGAACAGAAGATAAGTGTGGGCAAGAATGTGGAGAAACTGGACCTTCATACATTGCTGGTGGGAAAGCAAAATGATGCCGTCATGCCCTGGCCGGTTTGGCTCAGCGGTTAGAGCATCGACCTGCGGTCCGGAGAGACCCGGGTTTGGTTCCCACTAAGGGCACGTACTTCGGTTGCAGTTTGTCCCCGGTCCTGGTTGGTCGTGCAGGTGGCAGCCACTCGATGTGTCCCTTCACGTCGATGTTTCTCTCTCTCTCTCCCTTCCTCTCTCCCTCCCACTCTATCTGTACAAAAAATGGAAAAATATTTATCCTTGGGCGAGGATAAAAAAAAAAAAAAAAAAAAGATGCCGTCACTGTGAAAAGCAGTTTGGCAGTTCCTCAAAATGCTGAACAGAGAACTGTCATATGACCAAGCAACTCTACCTTTTTTTGTTTGTTTTTTTGTTAATCTTCGATCGAGGATATTTTTCCACTGACTTTTTTTTAGACAGAGTGGAAGGGAGGGAGGGATGGAGAAACATCGATGTGAGAGAGAGACATTGATTGGTTGCCTCCTGTATAACCCCAAACGGGTCTGAAAATTGAACTTGCAACCCAGGTACATACCCTTGACTGGGAATCGAACCTGAGACCCTTTGGTTTAAAGGCTGATGCTCTAACCACTGAGAAAAACCACCCAGGGCTACCCTTTTAGTTTTGTTTTGTGGCTTTTTGGTTTTTTTTTTAACTTTTTAAATCCTCACCTGAGGACATTTTTCCATATTTTGTTCAGATAGAGTGGGAGAGAGAGGGAGAGAGAAACATTGACGTGAAAGGGACACATTGAGTGGTTGCCACCCACACGACCCAACCAGGGCCGGGGACAAACTGCAACCAAGGTATGTGCCCTTAGCGGGAACCAAACCCAGGTCTCTCTGGACCATAGGCCAACGCTCTAACTGCTGAGCCAAACCTGCCAGGGCTTGTTTTGTGTTTTTTGAGAGAGAGAGAGAGAGAGAGAGAGAGAAAGGGGGAGGGAAGAAACAAGGGAGAGGGAGGGGGGAGAGAGAACAGACAGAAGAGACATCGATTTGTTGTTCCACTTATTTATGAGTTCAATGGTTGCTCCTTGTAATGTGCCCTGACTGGGGATTGAACCCGAAACCTTGACATATACTGACATCTCTCAAACCAACTGAGCTACCAGGCCAGGGCAAGCAATTCTACTTTTAAGAAGCCAGACACATGAAGCCACATATATTATATGATCCCACTGACATGGATTGTCCAGAATAGGCAAAGCCACAGAAACAGAAAGTAAATTTATGGAATGGGGAGTAACTGCTAATGGGTTTCTTTTTGGAATGATGACAAGATTCTGAAGCTGGATAGTGGTAATGGTTGCACAACTCTGAATATACTAAAACACTTAAGGTACGTGACTTATATCTCCATCTTTCATTGCCATTTTCCTTATGTAACTTCTTATTTAACAGCAAAGGGCACATAAATCCTTCGTAAATAAAAATAAGTACATAAAAATAAGTTTCATAGGGATACCTTTAATGTCAGACATAGTCTCCTTTTCATATTCAACTAGAAATCTGTATTTGAATGCTGCTATCCAGAGCCTGTCCCTTAAAGATTATCTAGTTTAAGTCCTTCAGTTTACAGATGGGGGGTGGGGTGGGGATCCCAAGATACTATGTCTTGCATAGACCACAGTGTCAAAATCAAACTTGGGTATCTTGAATCTCAGAACTCCAAACACATA